GCGAGAAGCATTTGAATTGAACCTGACTCTGGACAATCAATCCTAGTTTATAGCTTGAGTCAGGGTACCAGGGAGAGGACTGGTCTGGTGGCCTGGCACTGCAGGCTACATAACTAACTCACAGACTAGAACCATCTGAGCCTGCATTTCCTCCCCTGAATAGTAAGCACAACAGCCTCTTCACTACTCCAGTGTTATTTATTCTGAATCAACACAACCAGATGGAAACAAACAACTTCTAATTGTACAGAGGTAAACAAATGCAGAGCATGTTGGAAGCTCCCTCAGTGCCAGTACTGGTACTTTAGTCATATGTTTTAGTCTGTGGTAAATAAAATTTCCTTGGATTTACCAGTGTTTTGTGAAAAGCCTTTTCCCCTTTATGCACCATGAGAATTAAATGTGGAGTGTCCTTTGTATAGTTAAATGCTTGGATACTAAAGGATGTTCTCTGGTCCTTCCTCCCCGGAGAGCCCAAAGGTGACTCTAGGACTTGGTTCCCAGGTGCTGGTATTGGTAAACCAAAGCACTATAGCCTTAGTTATTCACACGTCAAAAGGAATGAAGTCCTAGAAATTATAACCATCTCTAGATCCTAAGAGAGGAGATAGTGGGGCTACCTGGCATTTGGAAAAGGTGTGATACTGCAAACCTGTAATCCCAGGACTTGGAAGGCCAGGGCAGAAGAATATTGAGTTTGAGGCCAGCCTGGACTCCAATAGCAAGACCCTGTCTTGGGGAAAAAATAAGCTAAGGTTAAGGTTCATTGTGTTTCTATGGAAACATTTTAGAAGGGTGAGACACCTTCCTCCTTCTCCTTTATAAACAGAGAAAAAAATTCCCCTCATCTCTGGCCTATGGAGCATCTGGCTATTGGAGTAGAAGCATAGATGTGAGTGTCATCTCATCACCTCCAGGTTAAGGCCTGAGAGAGGAGTTAAACAGGAGATGGCAGGCTTGCTTAGCATGCTCAAGACCCTGGGTTCTATTCCCAGTACCATGGGGGTGATGGTGGGAGAATGAAAACCCAACATTGATCTTATTAACGTGGGGATTGGAAAGAAGGATAAAAGAGAAGTCATCATTTCACAGGATGATTAAGAGCACAGAACAGGAAGAATCTGATTGATCTGGAAGTAGATTCCAGTTCTAACACCCTATAGCCATGATACTGAAGTCAAGTTCCTTAATTCTTCTAAACACTTCCTCCTTTCATTAAAGTTGTACAGTAATACTGCTCTTCTTTATAGTTGTTGCTGGAACTGTGTGTCACAATGTGAGTAAAGAGCTAAGCAATGCCTGGGAGATGACAATGGCTAGGGAATTTCTGGAACCTTGGGGGAAGACATCTGATAGAAGATGAGAGCAATATTGCTTTTCTATTCATGGTGTGATAATTTACCACAAACTTAGAGTCTTTAAATAACAACAGAAATGTTTCATTAGGTCAGAAGACTGAAATCATTTCACAGGGTGGAAGAAGAGGTACTCTAGAGACTCTCCAGAGGTCATCTTCACCCTCTGGTACCAGCCCTCTCACTGCATATCCCAAACTAGCAGCATTCTTCAAAGCTGTCCCTCCATTCTGTCACTTCCCTTCTGTCTCACTCAGACTCCCCTGGGTCCCTTTGAGGAGAATCTTGCAGCCATAACAGGCCCACGAAGTATAAAATAGGATAATTGTTCTATCTCAAGATGTCTAACTTAATCATATATATATATATTATATATATATTCCCTTTTAGAATGCAAGGTAACATTCACATGTTCTAGGGATATGGACAATAATAGCTCTAGGGAACATTATTTCATCTACACAAGGGATCGAAGGTCTATATTTAAAGCACTTCATCTTAGACTAAGAAAATATACATATTTCGGGACGGCTACTTGAGACTGGAATAGGAAACAAACCATGCAAGTGCTGAATCATGTTCAGTAATGTTCCTAAGTTGTAAAAAGCACAGAATTAGGTATTTCCTGCAAACTGGAAATAGAAAGTTTCAAAGCAAAAGAGAAAACATCATTAGATAACTGTGGAAAGGTGCGGAGGACTGGAAGAACAAGAGAGAAGGAGGTCGGGGAGGGAGGGCTTGCAAAGGCTCCCTAGGAAAGGAAAGCCTTAAAACAGGAAGACCCAGCATGACCATGTGACCTTTGAGATGCCATCCAGGGACAGCATTGAAATCAGTCCCCAAGGTTTTCTGAATCACAAATCTAAACCGAAGAAGAGGAATGGTGGATGAACCACGAGCTCACTGTGATTTTGTTTAAGAGTTCCCCTGAGGCTGGCTGTGGTGGCACACACTTTGATTCCAGCACTGAAGAGGCAGAGGCAGGCAAATCTCTGTGATATTGAGACCAGCCTGGTCTACATAGTGAGTTCCAGGCCAGCTGTGATGACAGGGAGACCCTGTCTCAAAGAAAGACCAAAAAAAAAAAAAAAAAAAAGACAAAAAGTCTTAAGGTCTTATCTTTAACAGTTTTATTACATCCTCTGCTTCCCATCCCTCCAAATAAAATAAACTGAAAAAAAATGCATCTACATCCTTATCAGCTAATATCTGATATGCTTTTCCTGTTATTTTCAACCAGGAGGGAGAAGACAGTAACTTACTCTTCCAGATCATGGTACACAAAGGGCACTATAGTGTTGAATCCACCCTACTTGCCACTGAGATAGTGCAAACATTCCCTACTGTCTGTCCTCACACAGTTTACCTTTATATTTTGTGTATTGGAATATTTATAAAACATAGCATATCTGAAGAGAATTTTCGTTTGCTTTGTTTTGAGGCATGGTCTCATTGGAGAACCAGTCTGACTTCTAACTCTTGGTCCTCCTGTCTCAGCCTCCACAGTGCTGAAATTGCATTCAGCCACTGTGACTAGAAGGGGATGGTTTTGGGTTTAAGTGAAACAGAAAATGTAAAAATACTAAAATAAAAGCAAGATATACATGCATGTTGACAATTACCAAAGTCTGTGTAGATACAGAAAAAAATCCAATTACTTTGAAATTTTGACTGCAAAGATCTGTACTTTTCTTACTAGAAGTAACAGTAGAAATATTACCGCAGTTAAATCTATGGTGTTTGATAGATGGAATTGTTAAATTCAACTGAGATCTCAAGTCTAAATATCATATTAATAAATTATCACTGCACTGAAGCAGTTGTTTCTTACATACATAGATTATTATCTTTTATTTGTTTGTTTCATTTGTTTGAGACAGGGTCTCCCTGTATCCCTGCCTGACCTGAAATTCGCTGTATAAACCAGGTTTCAATCTCACAAATGTCACCTGCTTCTGACTCTCAAGTGCTGGGACTAAAGGAACATTCCACCAAGCATGGTGATTATTACCTTGAGGACATTAAAATCTTACAGGAGGGGCTGGAGAGATGGCTCAGCGGTTAAGAACACAGGTTGTTCTTGCAGAAGACACAGGTTCGAATCCCAGCACCCACATGGCAGCTAACAACTGTCCGTGACTCCAATTCCAGGGGATCCAATGGCCTCTTCTGTCCTCGAGGGCATTGCACAACATGGGTGCACTTACATACATGCAGGCAATACACTCACACATAAAAATAATAAAATATTTTTTTAAATCTTACAGGAAAGTATATTTGCTCAGTTATGTTCGACATCATCCTGTAGTTATTCCTCACTAAGGGCATATCAATTATGATATTAGCAAATAAGTTGACTTTTGTGATTTTTTTCCATGAATTGTTAGTTCAATACAAGGAACTTCTACATTGATATAAATATTTAAAAGTGTTAGGTAATGTGTATATCAGTAGCTTCCTTTAGAGTTCAGATATACTTATCTCA